TCCAGTCCCCTAATCATCTTTGTTGCTCTTCTCTGTCCTTTTTTTGGAGTTTATAAAACAGAATGAAAGCATTTTTTTGTAGCTGCCAGTAACCTAAGATGAAGTCTATCTGGCCCCATGACCTACATTTCTTTAAATTGGTTACATTCTTATATTCCCCTTGCCTAGCCTCGGTTTTCTCCAATGTCATAATATTGGTCAGCTAGGTCTCTAATTTCCTCTGGTTCAAAATAGAAATTAAAAGTTCTGCCTTCTTGCCATCCATCACACTTTCTGGAACTACACCGATTAAAATTCGTTCTGTTAGCATAGTCTATCTTGAATTCTACATATCTTCTCTGTTTCTATCAATTGGCACAGTATATCTGAGCTGCAGAAAACCAGTAGTTTTCATTCAAACATGAAAAAGTTGCTTCTTTTCACATTCTTTTTATATTCATTCATTCATTTTTATACATTCTACATTTGGTCAATCAGTTATGGCCTTGAAACTTGCAAATATCTTAATAGGCAGATTCTGTTCTTGATTAATTTAATAGTATAATCAGATAGAAAGCCTTTTCTCTGCTATTCCTCTTGGTCTGTGGGATTCTTATCATTGGGATAATTTCGACTGAAGAGAGCAGAGCTCCACTTGAAATCTCATAGCCTGGCTCTTGTTTTCAAATATGGAAAGTTGGATTTAATGTCAAAAATAAAAATTAAAGCAAAAGCCTCTCTTTAAACTATCCCCAAATCTCTCCAACAGGATGATTTCATGCATTGTTTCTTTCTCTCCACTCAGTACCACTTTCCAACATTCTCTTGTACTGCTTCTGGATGCCATTGGCATTTCCTTTTGATCCTGTCCATGTGCACATCGAATAATTGGAGCTGGAACGGGGGCGTGGCAATGCCTGGAAGCAGTAAGTTTGTGGGAAACTGGTGAAGTTTGGCTTGGGCCATCATAACTTGAGCAACGGTACTATAAGTTGGCAGTGCAAAATAGATTGAGTTGGAGTGGGCAATATTTACCTTGCTTGTTTTTTTTGCTTAACCCTCCCCCTTGTGTATATTGACAGCACACTATGATACAATTAATTAAAGAAGCTGGCTACCATAATGGAATGACTCCAAGAGATGACTCTCCTGTGACAGAAGTCCTGAATCAAGTTTGCCCTTCTACATGGCGGGGAGCCTGTAAAACGGCGGTACAGTTGTTGTTTGGACAAGCTGGGCTGGTAAGTAGCGGTGGATTGACAACTGCATGAAGATGGCCAGAGTTAAGGGAAGGCAGGTCTTGCAGCCCTGAAAGAGTAACGTTAAGTTACAGCATTTGGGCCTGCAACAAAATGATGGATTCAGGGTTTCCGCCAGTTTATTTTCTTCACTTTGCTCCTCTCAACCGCCCTCTTCCTCCGCTTCGTCACTCTTGAGACGATCACTTCTAGGGTTTTCTGTTGATTTCTCCCCTTCAGTTTTTTCCTTTGATCTTTACAAGTATTGCCGATAACACCTCTTGTCTGTAGAACCTCTGGTCATAAATGCTTCTGACCACGAACAAAAAATTCACACAATGTTTGAATCTGGTCATGAACACGTACTCGAGGGGCGATCAAACACGGCTATGGTCAATTTCCCCTTCCGTGCCATTTTTTTGTAAGTGCCAAATTTCTTGTTGTTTGTTTACTTGTTTCCTGTTCTTTGGAAAAGGAAATGAAGAAGAAGCAGGTGGGGGGGGGAACAGGCCCTTGGCTCATGCTGCCACTCAGCTGCTACTGCTGGTGATTTTGCTCCTCTGCCCCACTGGTTGTCCTCTTCCTCCTCCTCCTTCTGACCGCCGCTTTGGCTCTCGCCCGCTCGGTCTTGCCTTGTGCCTATCGCTTGCCGGGCTTGAAGAAGAGGCTGGCTGGGAGCTTCTTCACAGCCGCTGTTGCTGCCTTGGCTGCCTCAGATGCTCTCAGCTTACCTTCACTTGTCAGCAGCCAGAGCAGCATCTGGAACCCCCGGGAGAGACCCACAAAGCATCTTGGGGGATGTAGTATTTCCTCTTCGGCAAGGTGGTGGAGGGGAGAGCAGGAAAGGAGATGGAGCTGACTTTCAGGGCTGGACGGACGGGGGGGGGGGGCTGCGTGAACCAACCAGGGGCGGCAGAGGCGCTTTGGACGCGATACTCTAATTGTTAAAAAGAGGGATAGAAAGAGAGAGGTTATAGGATCTCGGGGATCCTTGCGAGGTGAAGAAGGCAAACTTGGCTGGAGTAACTGGGGGGGGGGGGGGGGAGTCAGCCTACCTCTTCCTCCCACAGTTATGAGCCAAACTTTTTCCAGGATTCAGTTTTAAAGAAATGCTCAAGTGTAACTTCCCCTCCATACCCTTCCTCTCGTGTCCTCGTTCGGCTTTTTTAAACTTTCGGAGATAGCTGCTCTGTGTTTGTTTAAAGGTTCAGGTCACGATCAAATCGGGTTGCAACCAAAGTTATGGAACGAATTGTGGTCTTGACCAGAGGTTCTGCTGTCTCACGATATCATTAATCAGCCCGTTCTTCCTGATCATTGTTTTGGGAAGGACATATAAACTGAGATCAAAATGGTTCTGAGCAGAAATTTGTACACATTTCCCTGTATGGAAGATGGAGTTTCACTAGTTTCATCTACTTTACCATGTTTTTCTTTGAGTTGTGAGAAAAAGAGATGTCCAAGTGGGCTTTTTCTAGGTACCTCTTATAGCAGCTTAGTTTTGAATTTGACATGGGAAAGTATTTCTATTCCTGATGATGTTTCATCCTGATTTCGGGCAGTTGTTTTCTTCCTCTGCCCACAGGGGAAAAATTAGAGGTGGGTACATAGGTAGTCCTTGACTTACAACCAGTCGTTCAGTGACTTTCAAAGTTACAGCATCATTGGAAAAAGTCACATGACCAGTTTTCACACTTATGACTGATGCAGCATCCCCAGGGTCACTTAGTCAAAATCTGGGGACTTGACAACTGACATGTATTTATTTTAGGAGTCACTGAATGACTCTTGAACGCCAGTGTCCTTTGAGGTCCATTGTTTCTGGTGAGTTGAACAGAAATCCCTTTAGGTGCTTTGCAGAGGCAGAGAAGCAGTTTCAGGAAGTCCACTGCATTGCTTCTAATTGACTGTGCTGGTGAAGATCCTGTTTGCTGGATGGTGGTGGAGGAAACATCTGTTCAGCAAGAACAATGGCTGCCGGAAGCCATTTCCCAGGCCGGGGGTGTGGAAGGTTAATTTGGCTGGGATTGAGTCAAGTTCGATTGACAGATAGGCTGGTTGTGTGCTTGTTTCCTCTGAAACAGACAGTGGTTGTCTACCACTAAAACCTGCTCTCTCAGAGTGCAGACCGTTTGAGGCCTTTGAGGGATGAGAGCAAAGCCTTCATGCAAGGGACCAGAGGGTGGTCAAGATTTGACTTTTCCGATCTTGTCTGGCAGTTTACAGGACAAAGCAGGATTGAAGTGGATCCCCTGAGTTCAAATGTTTACACCTTTCCAAAAAAGCATGAAGAGGAAGATGAAATTATCAGCTGATGAAAAATGCTTAGTGAAATGCTCACCTCTTAAATACATCCTGAACTTACTTAGCTATTACATTTCATGATTAACATTTCAGTACCTCCTCATAACTCTAAATACCATTCATATATATCTCTTGTTTTGATGTTTATATACACTTGGTCAGTGTTTAACTCCCCAGGGGCCATGGTGGCTGCAACAAAATGATTTGTTGTTACATTTGAAGAGGGACATTCTAGTACTTTTAAAGTGGCGGTTGTTTACTTACTTTTCTTTGCAATCAGGTGGTTGTAGACACAGCACAGAATGAAAACAAAGAAGCTTATGCACCACAAATCAGCTTGGAAGGCTCCAGAATTGTGGTCCAAGTCCCATCAACTTGGTAATTAGAATTTGCTACTTAAGGAAACCCAGAATAGCATTGTGTGTGTGCTTTGGTGTGTGGAAAAAGTTAAGAAATTGTATTAAAAATCTTAGTGTGCTTTACAGTATCATCCAAGCTATCCTAATACAGCAATTTGAAGGAAGTAAATAGTTTGTCATGCAGTTGATAATTACAGTGGTAATAAGTTTTGAATGATCTCTGGAAGCTTCACTTCACACTGAGAGCCTGCCTAACCTTTGTCAGAGGATTGTGCCATGATCAGAACATTGGTAATCTGATCATTAATTAGGAATACCAAGTAATGTAATTAGTAATTCCATTAGTAATCTGGGAATATTTGATTCTCCATCTGCATCAGGTGCCTGAAAGAAGATCCTGCAACAATGTCTCTCCTGCAGAGAAGTCTGGATCCAGAGAAAATGTTAGGACTGGTAGATGTACTTTATACTGCTGTGTTTGACCTAAATCGCTGGAAAGAAGGAAGGTAGGTAGGCCTGGCTGTGGCTGCGGTTGGTACAGAATTAGCATTGCATAACACACCTTGTTCAGGTGAAAATGACTATGAGAAGCTTCATCTAGTTCAGGGGTGTCCAAACTTGGGAACTTTAAGACTTGTGGACTCCAATTCCCAGAATTCCCCAGCCAGCCATGCTGGGAGTTGAAGTCTACAAGTCTTAAAGTTCCCAAGTTTGGACACCCCTGATTTAGTTATTGAAGCCACTTACACTATGAATCAGAATTTCTGGGCAGCTGCATTTGACATGGTAGGAAAACCATGGTGGGTTGGGTTTTTTTTCCATACACAGCTTCCCATTTCAAGGGCATGATAGAGTGATAGGCCTCTGAGAAATTTGCTTTAACATGTAGCTTTAAAATGCGGATTGGATGGGAGTGGACACAGAGAAAGAGGATGCGATCACTCTATAGCAAGGGACTGATCACCCAAAACCCAGATCAGAAGATCCCCTACCCCGAGAGAAAGACTAGATCTAATGTGTGACCTCTCTTGTGGGTTGGCTCTGCATAAGTTGTCGCATGTCCATGGTGTCCATGAACTCCTGAATCAGCCTTGTTACCAGGTTCAAAGAAGGCAGCCTGAACTCCATTGCTCACCTAGCTATAGAGTTGTGGATCTCAGGCAGTTGCTGCTATACTGCAAGGAAAGAGATAAGCAAACAGAAACCCCAACGGATCAATCTCCCCTAGTAAGTCTCCCATCCAGCTGTGTCTGGAGCAGGACACCTGAAGGCCTTTGGAGACAACCCTCAGTCTCCATACCTGTCCTGGAGTCTTGGCTAATGCCACACCCAAAACCCAGGGGTGCACATTACAGAGAGGAGGCACAGACACACCTGATTTCCGTACTAGAACCAGGTGGGCCATTTGTTTGTATTTTGTTTGTTCCTGAATTGGATGTTTATCTGGTTTTCTGAGCCATTTTTAAATCTGAACCGGAAGGTCATTTTTGTTTCGCCAGGGAACAGGCGTTGCCCTACATCCAGATCCAACTGCAACGTGAGAGCTCTGACTTTGGAAGTCACACCGACTTACCGTCTGGAAATGGCAGTAAAGCAGCAGGGGGTTTGCAGAAGACTTTCTCAAAGTTGACATCACGATTTACCAAAAAAACGTCTTGTACAAGTTCGAACAACAGTGGGAATTACTCCATTCCTAATATACCTTCTAAAACCCATTTTATAGCTAACAACTCAGAGGACAAAGCAAAACTACCAAGTAATGCGGATGCACGACTGCAAAGTATTTTGAACCTTGGCCACTTTCCGAGGGTTCTTGAGCCTGCCCAGCTGATGCAGAGCTCAAACCATCACGGGGTCAACGGCCTCCTTGAAAGGCCGGAGGGAGGCATTGTGGAAGATGGTAAGGATGCCAAGGGCATGAACTTACCAACTGACCAGGAAATGCAGGAGGTCATTGATTTCCTTTCGGGTTTCAACACGGGCAAGTCCCAACAGACTTCTCCCCTGGTGAGAAGGAGAACCTCGGTTGCCTCGTCTTCTTCTTCTTCTGCTGCAGCAGAACAGAAAGCAGCTGCTGTGCAGCTGCCGTCACTACAGGCGTCATCTCACACCCCACTGCACCATCTTCAGCCCGGGATGCCCCAGCAGCCCCATCCCCAGAAACCCCAGCAGCAGCAGCAGCAGCAGCAGCAGCCGCACTATCAGCCCTTGCGCCAGCCCATTGGATCGCAGCAGCGCCTGCCCAGTAAGTGGCCAGGGGGTGCCAGCCAGCCCCCCGGCCAGGCTGTTGGGCCAGGACTGTCCTCGTTGCCTCAGTGGAGCAGCCACGCCTTTTCCGACCTGAGCTCCGACCTCTACAGCCTGGGCCTTGTGAACAGCTACATGGATAACGTGATGTCAGAAATGCTGGGGCAGAAACCTCAAGGGCCGAGGAACAACACATGGCCAAACCGTGACCAAAGTGATGGGATCTTTGGGGTGCTGGGAGAATTTCTACCTTTTGACCCTGCAGGTAAGTTCAGCTAATCCGTACCTTATTTCACAGCGTATTGAATGTCTCCAGATGTTTTTGAGTCCCAGGTCGTTATCCTGAACTAGCATTCTCCTCTCTGATCTGCTGTAGGGGCAGCCCAATTTTGAATTTAACCTGAAACTTTCTGTCCTCCTTTGATCTGAATTGCTTTACTTTGTTCTTGCTTTTCAGCTAAGTTGTGTTTATGCTTTTAATAACATAACTGCTGTTGTAAGCAACCAACGGCAGCTTTTTATGATTGTTTTATTTGTATTCCTTTTCCGATCAGCAAAGAAAGTTTTCCTTCAGGGGTCTGTGGGCATCAGCCATTACTGCTTCCACTACACTGGGCATTGCCTGTGTTGCTGCTTTGCTCATGGCTTGCATTACACAAAGACAACTTGCCAGGAAAGCACTTTTCTGTGAAGTGCTGAATATTCAGCATTCAACAAACATTCTGGACTACTAACTGCTTTCTTATGCATATCCATGGATGCAGGCACACACCCAGGGGTGGCTTGCTAAGCATAAAGGATTAAATCAAGGGATAATTGGGGAAGAAATAGCTGACTGATAGAGATTCCTTTTTTTCTGCCCAGTTGGCTCAGATCCAGAGTTTGCCCGCTATGTGGCTGGAGTCAGCCAGGCCATGCAACAGAAAAGGCAGGCCCAACACTTTCGTCGCCCCAGCAATGCACGTAGCAACTGGTCTCATCCTGATGACCTCCACAGGACCTGGCCCTTCCCAGAGTATTTCACAGATGGGTAAGGAGCCTCTTGGTAACTCTCCTTTGTACACTGTATTGTGCAGACCATTACAGAAATTAAGTCAATTGGTTTTAATTGATTGTTAGGAGGGTGTTTTATTGTTCCAATACATTTTATTTTTTTAGATTAAATGTTCATGTTGCACTTCTCTCAGGTTCAAAATGGCACATACAGATAAGCAACGCCTCTATTTTTTTCCTTTTAAGAGCGCAGAATATTTAGCTAAGAATAATTCCAAACATAGGAATTTAAGCTATAAGATAAAATCTGTATTTTACCCTGCAATCTAGTGAATTTGAAATTGTCCCTTGAGATCTTGCCCTCTCGAGATTGACTCTGAATAGGGAGTGCAAGAGCCCCATCCCCCCCCCCCCCCCC